AGCGCAAGACAAATACAGAAAACCGCGACATTGGGCTTAAACCTGATATCAGTAAGACGACAAAAGAAGAAGAAGAACAATACCCCTCGGACACAACAAAAACAAACATTTCACTGACATCCACTAGCGACAGTCTGGCACCAAGCAGTCAGCTCAGTAGATGGACAACGGTACCTCTCGACTCCTCGGTTCAGAAACTGAGAATTTGCATCACAAAAATCTAGCTGGAAACAAATAACTATTCAGAGCTTCAGCGATCTTCTGTTATCCTCGTTCGCCTTAGTTTTTTCTTGTACGTTTGCGTTTTCTCAACCCCTCAGTTTGCCATTTCAATGTCTCTTTGGTTCGTCTCTTCTCGGAAATTGTCCGGTGTAGCTCCATATTCTATGCATTTAAACTGCCAACACTAGCGGCTGTCCAGGTATTTCTCTTAACACCAATAGAACGAACGAACTTTATTTTCAAAGGGTCACAATTTGGGCACGCAGACCCGTCTTACATTCAGCCCTTCCAAGCACCACTCTTTCACACAGGAGTTGTATTTTATCAATAAATCATTTAATTTTCATATAATAATATGCATATTATAAAGAATTTAAAAAGTCAAAAATCTCAAAAATTTTTTTTTACAAATAAAGGACTCTTTTCCACCTCTTTAGGCATATAGGGCTAGACCTATATTTTTATAGACCAATCGGCACAAGATGGGTGATGTGGTCAGCATCACGCCGGCCGAGTCACACAGGGATCGGCAGTAAAATGTAGGTGCAGATGGACGCATAGCTGTCTGAGATGGTATAAATCTTGGTCGAAAGTGAGCAAGTTGGAGATCGACTAAAGCCATAGTTGAGCAGCATCTGACTGATTAACGCCCTAATGCGGATAGGAAGGTCATCGGTTCTCCAAAAATTACCTTGTCTTCCAGGTCGACCCAGCCTTGAGTGGGTACGAGGTGCAGTCCTGGGAAGTAAAAGAGGCCGGCGTGATGCTTACCACATCACCCACCAAGTGCCGAGTGGTCTATACAAAATATAGGTCTAGTCTTATATTTACAATACGCTTACAGGCGTGGAAAAAGGACCTTCACTTTTACTTATCAATCAATCAGGTGCCGTCTCCACAATGAAGGTTGGCTGCAATGGATCTCCAACAAGCCCTGTCTCTTGCCCTTGATGTACACTCACTCATACTGCTGTTCGTTCATCTCTTGATGTTATCCTCCCACTTGTAACGCTGTCAGCCTTTTGCTCGCCTACCTTGAACCTTTCCCTCTAGGATGATCTTTACAATACTGTTATGTCTTTTAATGTGGCCATAATATTTCACTTGCCTCTTTTTTATTTCACCTAGCAACTCTCTTTTCATTCCCAATTTCCTCAGTACCTCTGTATTTGACTTTTACTTATCCGAATGGTTAATTCAACGCTAGTAATACATAACGCATGCGCTAGAATCACATGGTGCTGAAGTGTTTAGAGGAACCAATCTCTCGTGTTAATAACACGTCAAAGTATGGCATTATGATGGCCCGTCGGGTAAGACAAATTCAACATTACCCGAGGCCGTTTCAACGATGCAAGAGAGCTTCACATATTGACACCCAGGTGCATACAGGGATTTGACACGATTGTGGCACATCATAGTTCAGCTGGAACTCCTCCCAGGGTTAATATTTTTTTCTCGAAAGTATGTTCAACTTGTATGTCTTTTTCTGCTTCTCATATATGTGTGTGTTTGTGTGTGTGTGCGCGCACGTGCGTGCTCATATATATATATATATATATATATATATATATATATATATATATATATATATATATATGTGTGTGTGTGTGTGTGTGTGTGTGTGTGTGTGTGTGTGTGTGTGTGTGCGCGCGCTTGTGTATGTGTATGTTATCCAGTACTGGATTAAGGCATACTCTAACTAAGCTGCAGCTTATGGCCTCACAGTATGAGGCAAAATACAGTCACCCTAATTCACAACATCCAGATTAATATCTTCAATAATCCGTTATTCTTAATAACCACAACAAAACCCTCTAACCTCAAGTCACTCCTAACAAAAACCCTCTACCATCAAGTCACCCACAACTAAACCCTCTAACATCAAATCACTCTTAACAAGAAACCTCTACCATCAAGTCCCTCTTAACAAAACCCTCTACCATCAAGCCACTTTTAACAAAAACCCTTTACCATCAAGTTACTCTTAAGAAAACCGTCTAACGTCAAGTCACCCTCAACAAAAACCCTCGAACGTCAAATCACTCTTAACAAAAACCCTCTACCATCAAGTCACCCTCAACAAAAACTCTCTACCATCAAGTCACTCTTAACAAAAGCCCTCTACCATCAAGTCACCCTTAACAATACCCTCTACCATCAAGTCACTCTTAACAAAAACCATCTACCATCAAGTCACCCTCAACAAAAACCCTCGAGCGTCAAGTCACCCTTAACAATACCCTCTACCATCAAGTCACTCTTAACAAAAACCATCTACCATCAAGTCACCCTCAACAAAAACCCTCGAGCGTCAAGTCACCCTTAACAATACCCTCTACCATCAAGTCACTCTTTAAAAAAAAACCTCTACCATCAAGTCACCATCAACAAAAACCCTCTAACGTCAAGTGACCCACAACAAAACCCGCTACCATCAAGTCACCCTCAACAAAAACCCTCTACCACGTCACCTTTAACAGTCCCCATCAAGCCCCCTCAACTAAAGCCGTTGCCATCAAGTCACCTCATTACTAACAATCAACCATTATTCCTACTACTAACAGCTTCCCATAGTCCCAAGACCAGAAGAAAGAAACTGAACGCTCGCATGAAGAGCTTCTCACTGGACACGCCTGATCCTCCCAAACAACTTCTGGGGATTGATGAGATGCCTAAGAAGAAGAGCTCTTCCTTCACAAATAATTGCTTTGGTGAGTTGCATTGCTCGTGGTGTGTTTTCGTCTCTTGTTGTTACTTTTATCGATATTATTATTATTATTATTATTATTATTATTATTATTATTATTATTATTATTATTATTATTATTATCTTACTGTTCTTTCTTTCTCCTACTCTCTTTTTTCTCCTCCTCCTCCTCTTCCTTCTTCTTTTTCTTCCTTTTCTTCTTCTTCTTTTTCTTCTTGTTTTCTTCTTTTTCTTCTTCTTCTTCTTCTTCTTCTTCTTCTTCTTCTTCTTCTTCTTCTTCTTCTTCTTCTTCTTCTTCTTCTTCTTCTTCTTCTTCTTCTTCTTCTTCTTCGTCTTCTTCTTCTTCTTCTTCTTCTTCTTCTTCTTCTTCTTCTTCTTCTTCTTCTTCTTCTTCTTCTTCTTCTTCTTCTTCTTCTTCTTCTTCTTCTTCTTCTTCTTCTTCTTCTTCTTCTTCTTCTGCTGCTGCTTCTTCTTCTTCTTCAGCTTCTTTTTCTTCAGCTTCTGCTTCTTTTTCTTCGTCTTTTTCTTTTTTTCTTGTCTTTCTTTCTTCTTCTTCTTCTTCTTCTTCTTCTTCTTCTTCTTCTTCTTCTTCTTCTTCTTCTTCTTCTTCTTCTTCTTCTTCTTCTTCTTCTTCTTCTTCTTCTTCTTCTTCTTCTTCTTCTTCTTCTTCTTCTTCTTCTTCTTCTTCTTCTTCTTCTTCTTCTTCTTCTTCTTCTTCTTCTTCTTCTTCTTCTTCTTCTTCTTCTTCTTCTTCTTCTTCTTCTTCTTCTTCTTCTTCTCCTTTTCCTTCTCCTGCTTATTCTTCAGCTTATGCATGCCATGGTGACAGACTGCCTAGAATCATCTCTCTCGGTCTCCCTCTGTCTCTCTCTCCCCCTCCAACTTTCCCACTGTCACGATGTACTCCTGTTTTCTTCCTCTCATCACATCACCAAAGGATGTAGATTGTCTCTGTCTGAAGTGGGCAATCAGTTCTCTTCCTGAGTTAGTGTCTTTCAAGAAATCTCAATTACTCTTTTTATCTTTCGACTGTATTCTCATCATTTGTTTATAAAACCACATCTCCAGCTTCCAAATAATTGTTTACAAATCTAGGAACTGTCCGTGTTTTACTTCCATATATGAAAATAAGATTTATATAGCCTTTAAAAATCCCCTTTCTCGTCTCAATTGACAAGAAAGACTGCAAAAATAATCTTCATTTGGTAACATACTGCCCTTGCTTGAGCTATTGTACGTTTCATTTCTTGAATACATCTTCCATCTGATGTTATCAGGGTACCCAAATACTTAAACATATAAACTTGCTTGAGGTTTCGACATACCTACATTACAATAGGTCACCAAAATAAAAATGCTTCTGGCCAAAGAAATGTAACAGACCTCATTCTTCAGCAGGCCAGACTAATGTTGCCACGTCAGCCACCAAGAAACGATTCGGATTCGGCCTCAGGTCAACATCTTTGGAGATTGAGGACACTAAACGCAGAAGTAGAAGCTCTTCCCCACAGATCTCTCCCGTAAGTGTTGATTGTACTGTGTGTATTTTGAGTGTTGAGTCAGTTTCGGATATCCTAGAGTTGAAGTTGCGTAATACTAGTCTGAATGTGATTAAGTCTGGTTCTTCTTCTTCGCGTTCACCAGCTGTAAACTCTGGCGGAAAGTTCTAGTTGTCCATCCACTTTTGGACTGCAGTCCTGTTTCAGAGCATGAGTGTTGCACCTGCATTCGTTTTACATATCTGAATCATTTGTATGCAGACTGCTGGTTTCTTACCTCTCAGGCAGATGCACTCTTGACTTCAAAGGAAGCTCCCAATTAGTCGAATCTTACCACATGCTTTTGGGCAGGAAGTGGGTCTATTCTCTGCCCCCCCCCCCAACCCCCACCTCCACAAAGGGGCCTTAGAACCCACATCGGGATATAGTCTAGTTCAACCGTGACCTTCTAGAAAGTTTGAAAACACAGTGACTGGTCCAACCAACAGGGGTTTATTTAGTAATCATAGATAAATGAAAAGCTCTGACCATATGACGGGAACAGAAGAGCTCTGTCCAGAGATCTTTCCATGCCTTGACGCTTCAAGGTATTCCAGGAGTAGAGAAAACAATAGGAGGAAGAGTGTTGTGAGTTGAGCTAAAGACTGACACAATATCACTCTAATCTAATCTAATCTAATCTATCTATCTATCTATCTATCTATCTATCTATCTATCTATCTATCTATCTATCTATCTATCTATCTATCTATCTATCTATCTATCTATCTATCTATCTATCTATCTATCTATCTATCTATCTATCTATCTATCTATCTATCTATCTATCTATCTATCTATCTATCTGTCTGTCTGTCTGTCTGTCTGTCTGTCTGTCTGTCTGTCTGTCTGTCTGTCTGTCTGTCCTGTCTGTCCTGTCTGTCTGTCTGGCTTCTGTCTGTCTGTCTGTCTGTCTGTCTGTCTGTCTGTCTGTCTGTCTGTCTGTCTGTCTGTCTGTCTGTCTGTCTGTCTGTCTGTCTGTCTGTCTGTCTGTCTGTCTGCTTGTCCTTTTGTCTGTCTGTCTATCTGCTTGCCTGTATGTCTGTCTGTCTATCTGCTTGCCTGTATGTCTGTCTGTCTGAAGTTCAGATGGGTTTGTTTTCTAATTGAATAATCAGAGAGCAAAGAAGAAGGAAGCAGACGTGTACGTGTCGCTGTATCACTTCCGGGGTAAGGAGAAGGACGATATGGATCTCAGGTAGGTAGCTACGGTTGTTTTTCATTTTATTCATCCATCCATTCATTCATTCGTTCTTCATTGATTCATTAATTCATTCTTCGTTTGTGAATTCATTTACTTATTCACATATTTATTCATTTATCCACATTTACGTTTATAGCCTTTCGCTTTGCATCCATAAATTTTTTCTTCAATTATTCGCTCTTGTTTTGTTGTTGTTGTTGTTGTAATCCTTAGTCTTTTGCTTTTCTGTTTTCCTGCGTTCACAATACAGTTGCACAATGCTGATATTCTTGATTCGATGACAGCTGTCATCGGTTTGGTAGATGGCCGCTTTGCGTTGATTTTGACAATGGTCTCAGTGTTGTACCTCCCACAAGCTACTAACAATGTAAAAGTTGGCGTGAGGGGTATGTGCGGCTATTTCCCTCTACTGAAATGCTTCGTGATGGGAGCCCGATCTCTTTATCTGTGCAACTGTCCTACAACAGACAAAATGTCACTAAAGCAGTCTTTGTATTTATTTATTTATTTATTTATTTATTTATTTATTTATTTGTCTCTCTAATGTGTTGCAGCGAACATTGAACCCTGGTATGTCGATGTTTGTGAAACACACTCACTATCCTCTAAACCACAAAGCTGCACAAGCTTTCCTTTTCTTAGAGCTTACCGATTGTAAAATCCAAAAGAAAAGTTATGTCCAATTTTAGACATTGGTCTTGTTCCATAACTCAAGCTTTGCCTGCATATCCGTTTTACAGATCTGGCTTCTTTGTAAGCAGACTGTTGGTTCCTCGCCTCGCAGGTAGGTGCACTCCGAGCTCGACGGAGAAGTCCCTAATTATTCGACTCTGACGACATGCTATGTAGGAAGCTGTTGGTCCCCCCCCCCCCCTTTCCAAAAAACCCTTGCCTCCCCAATGGGACTCCAGGACCAACTTGTGAAGCAAAGGCAAACTATTGAAACTAAAATTGCCCAGCAAAAACACACAACAGCTAATAAACACTGAAGTTAGTTTGCGACACCCAGAAAAGGACAGACAAAAAAGGAAACTTTAATCAAGGCCAGACGCGGTTTCAATCAAATAAAAAATGAATGACTCCGTGTAAAAGTTCACCCCTTAAGAAGTACATGGCTCGGCTCTGGCGTCTGCTCGACGTTCTGTTGATTAGCTGGCCTAGTGATGACGCAGGTTCTCGTTGTATGGAGATAGCTCACAAGAGTGTCTCAATAGGTAATATAGCCAAGATGCTATAGGGGCACAGTTTCAATAGGTTGTCTTCGAGTATCTAGAGAAAAACTTACACCTATGGAATATCTTTCGATGGATACTCACGCTGTTAATATCTTCTGATGAAAATTTGCATCCATATATTGGTCTTGGAAACTGTTCACGTTTTTCGGCCCATCTACACACTTTCTCAGTCACGTTGTATTGCTTTCTTCGAAAAGAGTCTCTCGTGTGACCTAGGCTGAGGCTGTGGATAGGGGGGGGGGGGGTTGGGGGGTTGGGTTAGGGCCAATTCTACATGTTATGGGGTTGTTGAAAGCTGTGTAGTATAAAACTCGCCACATCGGCGCTCATGTAATTGGAGGCAACACAATGCGACGTAGAGCAGTCTGAGAAAGTATGAATGAAAGGTCAGGTAGTGTGTAGATAGGCCGGGAAACGTGAACTGGACCTGATTTTGGTGTAGCGATTAGACGCTCGCTGCGGAACCAAAGATCGCGTTGAAGGTTCACGTTCTTTGAAACATGACCTTGACTCCTAGTTCAACCCTGCTTCAAAAGGGTACCAGGTCAAATAATGTTGACCATTGATTGGTCTATCACAGTGGTTCTCAGCCTGCGATCCTTTTTTTTTTGGGGGGGGGGGGGGCGACCCTTTTACAGGATCTCCTGAGACCACTCAAAGAAAACATATTCTTTGAAGTTATGAAGGAAAATAATTGTTTGGGGGTCGCCACAACATGAGAAAACTGTATAACAGTGTCGCGGTGTTAGGAAGGTTGAGAACCACTGATATAGAGGGTCTTCCTTTTCATGCTGATAACCTGTGTCTGTTTTTTAATCTCTTCTGATTTTTTTCCTAATGATGGTTTTAACTTCTGAAAGAGATCGTTGCTGTATTCTAAATTTACTCGTACATACGGTAAAGTAATTACACACGATAAGTACTCTTTTCCACCTTACTATCGAATTGGATGTTTGTACCTATTTCTACTTTTTATTGAGACAGTCGCCGTGTAGCCGCTTGACTCTCGACTGCGGATCGGAAGGTCATGAGTTCGGGTCCTGACGAAGCCCGGCTTTTTTTTTTTTTTTATGTGACTTTGGCTCTCAGGTCTACTTGAGTGGGACCATATCACCCAGCCTTGAGTGAGACCACATCACCCAGCCTTGAGTGGGACCACATCACCCAGCCTTGAGTGGAACCACATCCCCCAGCCTTGAGTGGTACCACATCACCCAGCCTTGAGTAGGACCACATCCCCCAGCCTTGAGTGAGACCACATCATCCAGTCTTGAGTGGAACCACATAACCCAGCCTTGAGTGGGACCATATCACCTAGCCTTGAGTGAGACCACATCACCTAGCCTTGAGTGGGACCACATCACCCAGCCTTGAGTGGGACTACATCACCTAGCCTTGAATGAAACCACATCATCCAGCCTTGAGTGGGATCACATCACCCAGCCTTGAGTGGGACCACATCACCCAGCCTTGAGTGGGACCACATCACCCAGCCAGTGTCTTCAGTCTATAAAATCTAGGTCTAGCCCTATGTGCCTAATGCGCCTGGGGTGTGTTCAATGGGTCCTTTACCTAATTTTACTTTTTATTGAGCAATCGGCTGTCCTTTGTTGGTGTGTTGCTGTGTTTACTCTCTTTGATATTTCCTAGTATTCTTTCAGTTTTTTTTTTTTTTAAAGATGTAGTTTTATCTGTCGCTGGTATTTATGCTCATGACCTGTAACTCTTTCAGACCTGGCTCACGAGTAACGGTGACCAACAGCTCAGACCCTGATTGGTGGAAGGTATGTGTTCAAATCTGACGTATACAAGCTGTTTGTGAAATATTACTCACTTTTGTGTATGTATTTGTGTGTGTATATCCGTCTTTCTGTCTGTCTGTGTGTGTGTGCGTGCGTGTGTGCGTGCGTGCGGGTGGGTGTGTGTGTGTGTGTATGAATATATATATATATATATATATATATATATATATATATATATATATATATATATATATATATATAGAGAGAGAGAGAGAGAGAGAGAGAGATAGAGAGAGAGAGAGATAGAGAGAGAGAGAGGTAAAGATCAGGAAAAGTCGAGATTAGGGGGAGCGGGCGTCAAGAGGGCAACGAGTCAAAGCTGCTTAACTAGATTCAGTTCATCCATAATATAAAAAGGATATTACAGGATAGTTTGGAGAAGAGACACTAAAATGCAAGCACTACGTGATGTATACTGTAAGGCAGTGTGGTTCATACAAACGCATGCCATATATATATATATATATATATATATATATATATATATATATATATATATAATATATATATATATATATATATATATATATGTATGTATGTATGTGTGTGTGTGTGTGTGAATTTGTGTGTGAATGTGTGTGTGTATGTATACTGTGTGTATGCATGTAAAATTGTTGCTTACATGTAGTAACATCTGCCTAACAGGAAACTAACAGGAACGAACATGTAACTGATACAGATCTAACACTTAGTTTACATGTAACTAACATGTAACTAATTTGTAACATGTAACGTAATTGTAATTATCATATAGCTAATTAGCAGCAAAGATGCAACTAAGTTGCTGTAAACATATAACCAACACATAAGCGCCGAAAACAAGATGTCAGTACTCACCACAAAGTGCCCCCCCCCCCGTCCCCACCCCAAAGATTTGCAAGTACATATTCACCGTAAAGTGTCTATTACAGTAAGGCTATGGAAAGGGGGGGGGGGGATTGTGCCCATAAAATGGTGTATGTATTGCATATCATTGCATATCGCCAAGGAGGGAATGGGGGAGGGGGAGAGAACAAAAAACCTTGATGTAACTGTCATGTTACTGATAAACTTTTAACATGTAACTCATTGTAACTTATACGTTGTTTGTAGGGTAAATGCTGCAGCAAATCTGGCTACTTTCCGGCCAAATATCTCCTGAAGTTACAAAAATACCAGCGGGTGTACCAAGTCACCCACACCATGAACTTAACAGAGATCGATGGACTTGGGGGGATGCGGTTGCACAAAGACCAAGTACGTATTTTTGTGTGTTTTTTAGAGAAGCAAAACTAATTCATTGCATATAGTATAATTTTTTTAGGCAAGTGAAAGTAAAGCAAGTGGAAGTAACAATTGTGAGATCTTGCATCTTTCCCTGGCAACTTATAGATGTGAGTCATTGGCTCTTATTCAATCAAAGAAAAACAATCGGAGCCTTTAAAATGAAATACTACAGAGAAATTCTTAAAATAACATAGACCAATAAAAAGAAGTCGTGAAAGATCTGAGTCTCGAGGAGAACTGGCTCATTACCAGCGTCCTATCCCGAAAGCTGATGTATTTTGGCCATGCTAAACGACATAGTGGTCTGTAGAGAACTGACTCATTAACAGCATCCTAAAATGAAAGCTGATGTATTTTGGCCACGCTAAACGACATGGTGGCATGTAGAAAACTGGCTCATTAACAGCATCCTAAAATGAAAGCTATTGTATTTTGGCCACGCTAAACGACATGGTCGCATGTAGAAAACTGGCACATTAACAGCATCCTAAAATGAAAGCTGATGTATTTTGGCCACGCTAAACGACACGGTGGTCTGTAGAGAACTGGCTCATTAACAGCATCCTAAAATGAAAGCTGATGTATTTTGGCCACGCTAAACGACATGGTGGCATGTAGAAAACTGGCTCATTAACAGCATCCTAAAATGAAAGCTGATGTAATTTGGCCATGCTAAACGACATGGTGGCATGTAGAAAACTGGCTCATTAACAGCATCCTAAAATGAAAGCTGATGTATTTTGACCACGCTAAACGACACGGTGGCGTGTAGAAAACTGTGCTAGAGAGTATAGCTTCCGGAAAATATGGCAGAGGTAGAACTTCGTGAAAGTGGAAAGAAGACGTTAACGGTACATTGACTATGAGCGCACATAGGGCTGGAGAATTGGCTAAGTAAAGAAAGACTGAGGAGCGGCTGGCCGAACGGCTGGAAAGCTGGGCCCTCAAGTAGGTTACCCGGGCTCGAATCCCCGGTAAGGTAAGGCTGGGGATTTTTTCTGTCAGGGGCAAAAAAAAAAACAAGCCTCACCTGCAGAGTCGTGGCGACAGCACTAGCCATGCGGCCGTTAGTCCTGAGGCTGAAAGTTCCCCCTGCCTGTACTGCATACGTGGTAATGAAGGCAGTTAGTTATTGGCAGTTTTTTTCAAGAAAGACTTTCACGCGTGCCGTTGACGAGAGCAATCTTCTATACGACCTGATGATTAATGGTGATAATGATTTTTTTTTTTTTTTTTTAGTATTTAGAAGCCATGAGTTTTTAACCTCCTTAGGCTCGGTATTATGGATATCGCAACCCTTCGGCCTTGATTCCATGATAAATACCGTAAATCTGGGAAAAATGTGGCATTTCTGCTTATCTCCGGGCGTGAACCCGGACCACAAGGAGTTCGTAACCCGGTCACCGCGCAATCCAGTTTAGCCAGCTACACTAGCAAGCCGGGCGGTGATGATGATAATCAAAATTAAATGTTCCTTTCTCATCCCCTGGCGGCGTCAGTGGCTTAGGCGTTGCGAGTACGACTCGTAATCCAACGTACCGCGATCGAAACCCACTGCTGGCTGCGTAGATTTTTATCATGATATAGGGCGTCGCAGGTCGACCCAGCCTAAAATGGGTACTAGGATGGCTGTCTTGGGGAAGTGCAGACGGCTGGCGTAATGCTGACCACATTACCCACCTAGTCCCGATTGGTCTGTAAAAATATGGGACGCTCTTCCTATTGGAGCTGTACCGAATAGTGATTTTCACTATTCGGCCGAATACGAATACGAATAGTGGTTTATTGTAATAAAACTTGGATGTGGCCGGAGTTTATATTATTTCCATGTCTAGTTATACATCTAGAATAGTAAACATTTAAAAACATTTTATGTTTTGCATCCTTCAGTCAGTCTGTGGTAATTAATAACTAGGAATAAAATAATCCTAAGTATTATAACAAGCAACTAAACTTGGAAATTGTCAATGACAGCTTATTTAATGCAGGAAAGCTGCATTAGCTTTCAACAAAACCAATCGTTCCATGTTGTCAGCATTGAGTCCGTGTATGCAGAAGCGGGTGTAAGGTAACTACTATTCGTATTCGGCCCGATCGCAACTATTCGGCCGAATACCGAATAGTCAATAGGTCCACTATTCGGTCCCGAAGCGAATATTCGGTACAGCCCTACTTCCTATATAACAGATGCGCCTAAGGCGTGAAAAGGGATCTGTACCTTTTTTTTTCCCTCTTGCCCTGGTGCGTCTGCCATATTGTGTAAGATACATATTATCATAGACCTTTTACACTCGTCGGGCCTATATTGTCTTCTTATGCTTGTTATTTTCCCTAGTGGAGCATACGCCCTCAACTAACTCACGCCAAGTTGCTCTATCCATTTCTATCGCATGCCGCTCCCCTCATGTCCTACTTGTCTTAACTTCAACTCGTCCCTATCTTCCTTTTTTTTTAAATATTGTTTGCCTTTATTGCTATGTCTCTGTTTGTTCCAGAGTAAGGAGGAAGAGTGGGAGGGAAAGAAGGAACGAACTTTATTTTCAAAGGGTCACAAATTGGGCACGCAGGCCCGTCTTACATTCGGCTCTTCCAAACACCCATCTTTCACAAAGGAGTTGTATTTTATCAATAAAGCAGTTATATTCCTATAATAATATGTTTATTATGAATAATAAGAAAAAAACACAAAGAATAGGTTGTAAAATGCATACCCATTGTTATAAACACATAACAACCACAATATAAGCGCCTAAAACAAGGTGTCGGTACTCACCACAAAGTTGCGCGCCCCCCCCACCCCCCCCCCCCCCCACGTCTAAAAAAAAAGGTTGTCGGTATTCACCTCATAGTGTCTATTACAGTTAATGCTGGAAATAAAATATGCATAGAAGAGTATGTACTGCATACCATTGCACATCGCCAGGGAAGAAAGAGAGAGAGAGAGAGAGAGAGAGAGAGAGAGAGAGAGAGAGAGAGAGAGAGAGAGAGAGAGAGAGAGAACGAGAGAGAAAAAGAAGAAGTAGGAGGAGAAAAGAAAGGCAGAATATGTAAATGCCCACTGACAAAAACTACTTCTGAAAACATAAGAGCCCTATATAACGTGCCTCTGTGTCCACAGATTGTACTAGCCGTTGGCGATGTAGAAGACGATGCTACGGTGATCCATGTTAAAGCAGCCAACAATCGAGAAGCTCTGTGTCCAGCTCAGTTTTTGGTGGAAGTCTGACAGCGGTACCAGTTCAACCCCTGGCAGACAGTAGGGATGGTGTTACAGGAAGTATAAGTGGTGTTACCGCCGGCAGGATTGATGTTCCGAAATTGTATGTGGTGTTACAGACGGCTTGAGTAGTGTCACTGAAAGTTTATGTGGTGTTAGGAGCAGCAGGAGTAGTGTTACAGACATCATGTTTGGTGTTACAGACATCATGTTTGGTGTTACAGTCAGTACTGTGGTGTTACAGTCAGTACTGTGGTGTTACAGACAGCGAGAGTAGTGCTATCGAAAGCTTGTTTCGTAGTTCAGACAGCAGGAGCTTAGTTATGGAAACCTCTATTTGCGATACAGACAGAGAGAATTGCATTACATGCAGCATGTTTGGTATTACCGACAACAGCAGTATTGTTGCAGACAGCATGTTTATTGTTACAGACAGCTTGTTTGTTGTTAAGGACAGTATTCTGTTGTTACAGACATCAGGAGGGGTTTTACAAACTTAAGTGATGTTACAGATAGCAAGAGCGGTGATTCAGACAACGTATGTGGTGTTACAGGCAGCTCGTGTGGTGTTACAGGAAGTATACGTGGTTTTACAGAAAGCATGTATGGTGTTACAAACAGAAGTGGTGATGCTACAGAAAGTATTTGTTTTATTACGTACATCGTGTGTGATGTTGTCTACACATAATTAATTGGACTCCCTCCTTAATCCACCCACCCCCCCCCTCCCCACCCCCCTCCCCTAACACACCCAGTGTCAACTAGAATGTCTCAACACAAAAGTGCCAGCTACTGAAAACATCTATCAGATAATCTACATACAAACAATAAGTAAGCGTTTGAACTCAAGTCTTTATCCACGGAGAAAACAATATAAATATTTCATGCATTCCCACATTCACTCTTCTTCTTCTTCTCCTTCTTCTTCTTCCTCAGGATTCTCGGCGGTGCTACAGAGTCAATGCACTGTGCTGAGCTTCTTCGGACTCAGACTTGAGTTAGGAGAAGAACAGAGCACTTATGGGTTACTACCCGTGTGCCATGAGGTCCGTTGTTCAAACTTCAAACCTCTTCTTCTTTTTCTTCTTCTTCTTCTTCTTCTTCTTCTTCTTCTTCTTCTTCTTCTTCTTCTTCTTCTTCTTCTTCTTCTTCTTCTTCTTCTTCTTCTTCTTCTTCTTCTTCTTCTTCTTCTTCTTCTTCTTCTTCTTCTTCTTCTTCTTCTTCTTCTTCTTCTTCTTCTTCTTTTCTTCTTCATCTTCATCATTTTCTTTATCGCCTCCTCCTCATTTATTTATTTTTGCTTTTGTTTGTTTTTTGTTTGTTTGTTTTTGGTCGTTTCATTCTTTTCTTCCATCAATTACCTCCTCGAAGTGTTTATGTGAAGGTGCAATTGTCTTCTTTGTGCACTTTCTAGTATAGAGCTTAAATTGATCTTCATGTTTTTAAAGTTGTTCTTCGTGCCAATATTTTGTGCGTCTTCGTTTTGATCTGTATTCATACTTTTTCTTGAGCGTGAGATCGCCCTCACACACATCTCCTCGATTAACTTAGGCATCCCTGTGTTTACAGTTATATCTTCTACCGATCTGGCTTGTCTTTGATTTATTATTATTATTAATATTTTGGTCCAACCGCTTATGCCGTACAGCGTCGCAGAAAAAAGTCTGATAGTTTTGTTTTTTTTTTTTTGGGTCTCTTGCTAGTTGTGTAGTTTGTGTTAATGTTATACTGTGTGTTTATAGTGTAGTTTGTGTTAATGTTATACTGTGTGTCTATAGTGTAGTTTGTGTTAATCTTATACTGTGTGTCTATAGTGTAGTTTGTGTTAATGTTATATTTTGTGTCTATAGTGTAGTTTGTGTTAATGTTATACTGTGTGTCTATAGTGTAGTTTGTGTTAATGTTATTCTGTTTTGTCTATAGTGTAGTTTGTGTTAATGTTATATTTTGTGTCTATAGTGTAGTTTGTGTGAATGTTATAATGTTTGTCTATAGTGTAGTTTTTGTTAATGTTATTCTGTTTTGTCTATAGTGTAGTTTGTGTTAATGTTATACTGTGTGTCTATAGTGTAGTTTGTGTTAATGTTATACTGTGTGTCTATAGTGTAGTTTGTGTTAATGTTATTCTGTGTGTCTATAGTGTAGTTTGTGTTAATGTTATACTGTGTGTCTATAGTGTAGTTTGTGTTAATGTTATACTGTGTGTCTATAGTGTAGTTTGTGTTAATGTTATACTGTGTGTCTATAGTGAAGTTTGTGTTAATGTTATTCTGTGTGTCTATAGTGAAGTTTGTGTTAATTTTATACTGCATGTCTATAGTGTAGTTTGTGTTAATGTTATACTGTGTGTCTATAGTGTAGTTTTTGTTAATGTTATTCTGTTTTGTCTATAGTGTAGTTTGTGTTAATGTTATACTGTGTGTCTATAGTGTAATTTGTGTTAATGTTATACTGTGTGTCTATAGTGTAGTTTGTGTTAATGTTATACTGTGTGTGTATAGTGTAGTTTGTGTTAATGTTATACTGTGTGTCTATAGTGTAGTTTGTGTTAATGTTATTCTGTGTGTCTATAGTTAAGTTTGTGTTAATTTTATACTGCATGTCTATAGTGTAGTTTGTGTTAATGTTATACTGTGTGTCTATAGTGTAGTTTGTGTTAATGTTATACTGTGTGTCTATAGTGTAGTTTGTGTTAATGTTATACTGTGTGTCTATAGTGTAGTTTGTGTTAATGTTATTCTGTGTGTCTATAGTGAAATATGTGTTAATTTTATACTGCATGTCTATAGTGTAGTTTGTGTTAATTTTATACTGCATGTCTATAGTGTAGTTTGTGTTAATGTTATACTGTGTGTCTATAGTGTAGTTTGTGTTAATGTTATACTGTGTGTCTATAGTGTAGTTTGTGTTAATGTTATTCTGTGTGTCTATAGTGAAATATGTGTTAATTTTATACTGCATGTCTATAGTGTAGTTTTTGTTAATGTTATACTGTGTGTCTATAGTGTAGTTTGTGTTAATGTTATACTTTGTGTCTATAGTTTAGTTTGTGTTTATGTTATACTGTGTGTCTATAGTGTAGTTTGTGTTAATGTTATACTGTGTGTCTATAGTGTAGTTTGTGTTAATGTTATTCTGTGTGTCTATAGTGTAGTTTGTGTTAATGTTATACTGTGTGTCTATAGTGTAGTTTGTGTTAATGTTATACTGTGTGTCTATAGTGTAGTTTGTGTTAATGTTATAATTTATGTCTATAGTGTAGTTTGTGTTAATGTTAAACTGTGTGTCTATAGTGTAGTTTGTGTTAATGTTATACTGTGTGTCTATACTTCCTCCACCCATCTCTTTCTTGGCCATCCTATTGTCTTGTAGCCTGCTGTCTCATGCAGTATGCGCTTAGCTACTGTCTGATTTTGTTCAGTTCTGACTAGATGGCCAGACCATTCAATTCTGTGATTCTATTAAATCGTTTACCAGCACTGTGCCTACCACTTTTCTTAGCTCTTTTTTGTGACTGTCTCCTCCCCTCTCCATTTTTTTTTTAACCTGGCATCCCCACATTTCTTATACATCTCACCTCTCATATTGTAACTTATTAATTGTATTTTTCTACTACGGTCCATGTCTAATATTGATTTTCATTGCACTTCTAAAAGTGCTACTAAAAGCAGGAAACATGATAACATATTTAGTTTGATTTCCTTAAACCAAACATTAAAAGTTCGTGTAGTTGGTCATTTTTCGATCAGCTTGGAAGCAATGACTGTACTCTCCCCCAGTCCCAACTACATATCTATTTCCTAGAATCGTTCTTTGCATAACTAGAACACTTTGTGGTTACTTACATCTCTCCGTACAGATTACAACATCACAAACGCATTGGTAACTCTTGTTATCTTAACTCACAATTTACGGATCACATCTGATATATGTGTTTAACTTGATCATTTTTCGAATGTTCTGTTTTCTCAGTGGTTACTTTCAGTTGTTGTTGTTTTTGTTGATATTGTTGTTGTTGTTATTGTTAACATTCACCGGCTGTTAAATATAGCGAAATGTCCAGGTTGTTCATCCCTGACTGGATTTTAGTCTGGTTCCAGAACTTGAATAATTTGACACATTTTTGTCTGTTCTACTCGATGATCCAGGGGTCTCCGTGGCGGAGTGGTCAAACCGTTTGCCTCGCCATCTGAAGGTCTTGGATTCGTTTCACGGCGCGTCGTTCAGCTCACGTGTGCAGTGTTTACGGAAATCCCTGGGGTCGTCGCCGGAGCTTTGAGTTCGTGCTTTGTGCGATGTATGTGCGATGCTCTCTGCAGGCGGCTAGCTCAGTACAATGAGGTCGATTCTCTCGACTTTAACTTTCAACTCGTTTTTTTGCCTCGTCGCCTCAGCTATGTTGTCTTTCTGAATCCATGACTTTGTTTGCTCACCACGATTTGTACGACAGTCATTGCTAAATCATTCCAATTTGTTTCTTACTGAGTATTTTTCAGTCATTTCTATTCTTAATAATAGAAGCATGGGTAACTGCATTGCATCATTTGTGCCATCATCATCATGAACATTATCATAATCCTCATCATTATCATTTTTATCTAAATCATGTTTGGGAGTCACCGTGGCAAAGCGGCTAGACGTTAGCCCTCGGATCGGAAGGTCGTGGGTTCGGTCCCTGGCGGAGCCGAACTTTAAAAAAAAATGACCTGGGTTCCCAGGTCGACCCAGCCTTGAGTGGGTACCGGGGGTAGTCCCGGGAAGTTGAGGCGGCCGGCGTGATGCTGACCACATCACCCATCTTGTGCTGATTGGTCTATAAAATATAGGTCTAGCCCTATATGCCCTACACGCCTGAAGGCGTGGAAAAGGGTCCTTGACTTTTACTTTTTACATTATCATGTTTGTCATTATCATAATTATCATCGTCATCATCCCCTTAATAATCATCGTAACCATGACTATTATCTCGATTATCATCGTTTTTCGCAAACGCCAAGCCAAGTGGCTGA